GGTTTTTCTGTTGTTGTTATTTTGGTAGTTGTGGTTGTATCAGTTGGTTTTTCTGTTGTTGTTATTTTGGTAGTTGTGGTTGTATCAGTTGGTTTTTCTGTTGTTGTTATATTGGTAGTTGTGGTTGTATCAGTTGGTTTTTCTGTTGTTGTTATTTTGGTAGTTGTGGTTGTATCAGTTGGTTTTTCTGTAGTTGTAGGTTTAGCTGTCGTTGTTATTTTCGTAGTTTTGGTTGTATCAGTTGGTTTTTCTGTTGTTGTTATTTTGGTAGTTGTGGTTGTATCAGTTGGTTTTTCTGTTGTTGTAGGTTTTTCTGTTGTTGTTATTTTGGTAGTTGTGGTTGTATCAGTTGGTTTTTCTGTAGTTGTAGGTTTAGCTGTCGTTGTTATTTTGGTAGTTGTGGTTGTACCAATTGGTTTTTCTGTAGTTGTAGATTTAGCTGTCGTTGTTATTTTGGTAGTTGTGGTTGTATCAGTTGGTTTTTCTGTAGTTGTAGGCTTAGCTGTCGTTGTTATTTTGGTAGTTGTGGATGTATCAGTTGGTTTTTCTGTTGTTGTTACTTTGGTAGTTGTGGTTGTATCAGTTGGTTTTTCTGTAGTTATAGGTGTAGCTGTCGTTGTTATTTTGGTAGTTGTGGTTGTAACAGTTGGTTTTTCTGTAGTTGTAGGTTTAGCTGTCGTTGTTATTTTGGTAGTTGTGGTTGTATCAGTTGGTTTTTCTGTAGTTGTAGGTTTAGCTGTCGTTGTTATTTTGGTAGTTGTGGTTGTATCAGTTGGTTTTTCTGTTGTTGTTATTTTGGTAGTCGTGGTTGTGTCAGTTGGTTTTTCTGTAGTTGTAGGTTTAGCTGTCGTTGTTATTTTCGTAGTTGTGGTTGTATCAGTTGGTTTTTCTGTTGTTGTTATTTTGGTAGTCGTGGTTGTGTCAGTTGGTTTTTCTGTAGTTGTAGGTTTAGCTGTCGTTGTTATTTTCGTAGTTGTGGTTGTATCAGTTGGTTTTTCTGTTGTTGTTATTTTGGTAGTCGTGGTTGTGTCAGTTGGTTTTTCTGTAGTTGTAGGTTTAGCTGTCGTTGTTATTTTCGTAGTTGTGGTTGTATCAGTTGGTTTTTCTGTTGTTCTTATTTTGGTAGTTGTGGTTGTATCAGTTGGTTTTTCTGTAGTTGTAGGTTTAGCTGTCGTTGTTATTTTGGTAGTTGTGGTTGTATCAGTTGGTTTTTCTGTAGTTGTGGATTTTGATGTCGTTGTTATTGTAGTTGTCGTAGTGGGTTTCTGTGTGGATGTTGTTGTTCTTGGTCTTTTCGTAGATTTTGTTGTATTTACTGTTGTTGTTACTGTCGTTGACTCAGTTGGTTTTTCTGTAGTTGTAGGTTTAGCTGTCGTTGTTATTTTGGTAGTTGTGGTTGTATCAGTTGGTTTTTCTGTAGTTGTAGGTTTAGCTGTCGTGGTTATTTTGGTAGTTGTGGTTGTATCAGTTGGTTTTTCTGACGTAGTTATTTTCGTAGTTGTGGTTGTATCAGTTGGTTTTTCTGTTGTTGTTATTTTGGTAGTTGTGGTTGTATCAGTTGGTTTTTCTGTAGTTGTAGGTTTTTCTGTTGTTGTTATTTTGGTAGTTGTGGTTGTATCAGTTGGTTTTTCTGTAGTTGTAGGTTTAGCTGTCGTTGTTATTTTGGTAGTTGTGGTTGTACCAATTGGTTTTTCTGTAGTTGTAGATTTAGCTGTCGTTGTTATTTTGGTAGTTGTGGTTGTATCAGTTGGTTTTTCTGTAGTTGTAGGCTTAGCTGTCGTTGTTATTTTGGTAGTTGTGGATGTATCAGTTGGTTTTTCTGTTGTTGTTACTTTGGTAGTTGTGGTTGTATCAGTTGGTTTTTCTGTAGTTATAGGTGTAGCTGTCGTTGTTATTTTGGTAGTTGTGGTTGGTTTTTCTGTAGTTGTAGGTTTAGCTGTCGTTGTTATTTTGGTAGTTGTGGTTGTATCAGTTGGTTTTTCTGTTGTTGTTATTTTGGTAGTTGTGGTTGTATCAGTTGGTTTTTCTGTTGTTGT